TCTGGGACATTACCTGTTCATTTCAAGGCATGCTGGTGGTCAGCACTCACACCATGACACCACCAGCACGTGGCTGGAGAAGACCTGTGTGCATTTTGGGATGATTGATCAAAAACTGGAATTCATATTTTATTTTGATTAATTTTTTACTTTAATCCCTCTGAAATGGAATGCACACTCAGAAAGACTATTCTTCTTTTTATTTTTCTTCTCTGAAGAGTATTCACAGTCCAAGGTTGCAAATCTGAGCAATTTGGTCAATGATGTAAAAACAAATGAAAATTAGCCAACAAAAGAAATTCACTTGAGTTAAATAGGAGGTTATTATTATACCTTGCATCCTCTTCTGTAACTAAATGGAGAGTGAGTCAGGTTAAGAAACAAGCAGAGGGGACAAAGCAGCTACTGCTGACACTGTGTTTCATACACGGCAAAAAGAATATAAAATAAATAGGATACAAAGATGTAATTCTAGGATTATGTGTTTCCCCAAAAATATGCTATTCCATACTCATTTTTAACCAAATCAGACTGCACATCAAGTAAATAAGAAAATACCAATTGCCACAAACAGCTCAAATAAAGTATAAATATTTCTGAAGGCTTCACTAAGACTACAATCTCATCCCTCAAGGCTCTAAATTCTTCAATTCCTTTACTGATTTATGGAAACAATTGGACCAGATTCCCCAGATCTTTTCACCCTGTACAATTATTAATATTTTCACCAATCTGGCATGGGTGCTACAGATTTGAAATGGCAGCACCCCAAGTCCACTCCTTTGGCACACACATAAAAGTGCACACACACACACACAGACACACATGAGGCTAAAGGTGGTAGAAAGCCCAGGCAAAGTGAGTTTATTTTATTGTAGTCATTAGTGCTATACATTAAATACATTGCGGGTTCAATCCTGCTCCCTTTGAAGTTGGCAGCATTACTCCCGTTGAATTCATGTGCTCTGAAAAATGCCTTGAGTTTTGCAAATTGATCATTTTGTCATCTATGCTTCAGGTCAAAACCATAATTCCGTGCTTTAGACTTGGTTCTGAGCCAAATGATTTTTACTAGAGGTTCAAAGAACGCATACCTGTCCTTCAGAGAGGTGCCAATCCACTGTAAAACCAAGGAGCAGAGTGGCTGAGGATCTCAGAATGGTCTGAGGGATGCAAACATCTTGCAGCTGACCACAGCAACCCCAGGGTCTTCCCAACAACAGCCCCCCACTTTAACTCGACAGAAAGCATGAGAGACCATCCTTCGTGAGAGAGCATTTCTGCAGCGGGTGTGATCCATACTGATTTACTGTCATTTATCGGGAATTACGCCTAAAATCGCTACAAAATATCTCCCTGTGTTTTTGTTGCAGTTTCTTTTTTCTTGTTGTTGTTGCTTGTTTGTTGTTTTTCTTAAAGAAAAATAATAACATTGTGCTTCAAAACCTTCTAAATAAGCCATTCAACAATAAATTTCCAGTGGTATTTATTTATGTGCCTTTGGGATGACAAAGAGAGAGTGCCGGTTTGGGGAATAGAGAAAATGTTTCTTTACATTGTAAATCAAATGTAAATACTCTATGTGGGCAAGATGTGCTTTTTCCTACCTCACATATCCATATCAAACCCCAGTGTCTGTGCTGGCCATTTTCATGCTGATATATTACCAAAATATACTGTCAGCTGAGCAAAACAGAAACTGTAGCTGCTGGGTACAAAATCAAAATATTCTTCACTAAAACACTTTCACTTTAAGGATGCTGGTGCTTAAATACATTGTTTATTCACCTTGTTACTGTCTGCCAGGCTTCCTCTGGCGCCTCTCCCTCCACTGGCTCGCTTCTGGCATGGCCTAACAGGAGGTTTTCCTCCATGAAGAAAGAAACAAAACCTTGCTCCCTGCTTCTTTTTCCCCTCCCCAGGATAAATTTGAATTTGGGCTGAATTCCATTAGCACAGCGACAGCTCCTCATCCCGGGACACCCCAGCCATCCCTATCTTCCCTCCCACCCAGACTCACGCCTCACCCCAGCTCGGTGAGGGTTCCCCTACAGAAACCCTCTGTGGGCTTTGCTCCACCAAAAGCCTTATTTCACGGGCCCCCCTGGGGTTTGGGGCACCGCAGGCGACACTGAACACCTCCGGGTGGGTTTGGGGTGTCTCCAGAGAGGGACACCCCAGGCCCTCCTCGAGCAGCGGTTCCAGAGCTCTGTCCCCTCGGTGTGAAGGAGCTCTTCCTCCCCCTGAGGTGACACTTCTCCTGCTTTGTGTTTACGGCCAGCTCTCCTCGTCCTGCTGCTGGGCACCCACTGGAGAGTCTGGCACCCCTTGGAGGTTTTGTAGTCATTGATGAGATGCCCTCGCAGTCTTCCCCAGACTAAGCCCAGCCCCCTCAGTCTCTCCTCTCAGGAGAGCTGCTCCAGACCTCCATCGTCTGCCGGAGCCTCTCCAGCAGCTCCTTCTCTTTCTTGTCCAGAGGAGTCCGGAGCAGGAGTGGTTTTTGGTTGTTTTTTTTTTTTGGGGGGGGGAGGCGTTCCCTTTGGCGGCGGTGCCCCCGCCGCGGGGAGGGGAGCGCCGGGCAGGCAGCGAGGGAGGGAGGGAGGGAGGGAGGGAGAGCGGGCAGGAAGGAAGCGCCGTCGGAAGCCCCCGGGTGCAAGAGCGGCGGAAGCGGCCGCATCTCGCATCCCGCATCCAAGGATGGGCGGCTCGGGAGCGAGGCGGGCGACAGGGAGCGCACCCGGGGGTTCTGGTGCGGGCACGGCGGCCCGCTTCTCGGGGACCGCCCGGTGCTGCCACCGGGGCGAGCGGGGGCGGCCCGGCGGCGGCTCTGGCGCTGCTGCCCGGCCCGTCCCCTTTGTGTCGGCGAGACCGGGCGAGCCCCGGCCGAGATCTGCCCGTCCCGCCCGGTAACAGCCCCGCGCCCCCATTGGCTCCCGCGCCGCCGCTTCCTGCGGCCGCACCGCCCCGCGGGGGCTCCCCGGGCCCCGCGCCAGCCCCGCCCGCCGCCGGCACCGCCCGCCCGCCGCGCAGCCCCGCGCCCCGCCGCGCAGCTTTTATGAATGGAGCGGCGGCCGCGTGCTCCGAGGGGGGAAAGGCACCTCGGAGAGGCCGATCCGACCGGCAGCGACCGGGAGGATGCCGAGGTGTGGGTGCTCAGGACCCGTGTGGCTGGGCAGCGTGGCCGGGAAGAAATGTTCAGAAGGAAGGAGCTGGCGCGATCCCAGGGAATGCAAGCGGCTGCCCCAAGGGCTCGCCCTGCTTCCCCCAAACCAGCTGCTCACCAGAAAGGTGTTGGGGATGCAGGGTTGTTAATTAAATAGGGTCCCCCTGGACGTGCATCGGAGGCACGTCCAATTCTGACCCGAGAGCGCGGGGGGTCGTGTGTGCTTCTTCATTTAATATTAAAACCTTCCTGGCCGACCAAAGTTGTGGAAATAGAAGTGGAAGTCCTGTGCGTGAAGCACAATAGACAGGCGGAGGGACAGGGGACAGCTTCCTCGCTGAGGGACCCTCCGGAGTCGCCCCACGGCCTGTGGCGTGCAAGGGAAACTGAGAGTGCAGGGCCTCCGACATCCTCCTCCTGCTCCTGACAGACGGAGACAAAATGGAGACAAATGGTCAAGCAAAGGAGTAAATGAGAAAAGATGGGCAGACAGTCCATGCAAAGAGATTACATAAACACACAACTGTGCAACAGCATGCCCTGTGATCTTTGGCACTGCTCTCCCTGCGGGTCACAGAGGAGAGATGCTGTGTCCTCCATGGCCAGCAGCCCCTGCCACCAGCTGGAGTTTCTGCCATCAGTGTTGTACCCCTGGCAGGGATTCAACACCCAGCTGATGCTAAAGCACCGAGGCTGAGGATAATCCATGCACCCCAATTTACGGCCTTCCCGCTTCTCCCTATGCCACTTTGCGGCAGGACAAGTCACTTCTCCCATGCATCAGCCTCACCTCCAATGTTCCCCAGCGGGCCTCAAGCTGCGCTGTCAACCCCGGGGAGAGAGTGAGGCTTTCAGAGATGCCCTTTTTTAACAAAAACAGCGAGAAGCAGAGTGTCCTCAGGTACAGCAGGCTCGGCCGGGGAGCGGGAGATATTTACGGCAGGGCCCCATCACGCGTGGACAGAATGTCCTGGAGACACGGATGAGGCCCCTGGAGGCTCTGGCAGCAGCCGGCACCTCCCTCCCACCCCACCAGCTTGTCTCCCCGTAGGTGCTGGAGGGAGCCCTGGCCTCCATTTTGCTGCTCCGCTGGGATATTTTTCCTGGGTGGCGGTGAGCAGTGGGGGTGGCGTGCCGAGCCCCGGTGTGCACTGCCACCGGCTGTGCTTCGGATTACTTCTCGCCCTGTCCCCTGCCACCTCCATGCCCCTCTGGGAAGGTGAAACCTTAAAAGTGAAAGGAAATACCTTATTTAAAAAAAAAAAAAGGTTGGAAAAAATAACCATCTCGGTACAGGGGTGGACACCCGAATTGTTTAAAAACTTTGGTGTGCAGTAAAACCATCCTGGCTGGGAAAAAACAGGACTGAGGAAACTGGAGAAAGGTTTTCCCTTGGGGTCAGCCACAAAGAGTAGGCGTTCAGGTTGGGAGTGCACCTTTTTAAAGGACAGCATGGCAGCTACGTGCCAGTGACAGCACTAATAATGATGATGATGATGATGATGATGATAATAATAATAATAATATTGATAGCAAACAGCAAGGCACTGGTGCTGCTCCGCTCCCGTCCCTGGCGCCCCCGTAAATAATACGAAGTCTCCTTGCATTTCTCTCCCTGGTGTCTGTGTGTGGCCTTAGCCCCATTCATCATTTGGCTCCCAGTGCAGAACTCGCTCCATTTTTAAAATTATGCATGATCCACTGAAGAGACAATTTGGGTTTCCCCCACTTCTCCCTTGCCCTTGAAGAAAGCGAGCCCTTGTCTCATTTGCATTAAAACCCTGCTCTCTATAAGCTAAGCAAAGGGGAAGGACTTGAAGCCTATGGGATGGCTTTAGGGCTCTGCCCCTTGCTTTTGGCTCTCTCTCTCTTTCTCATTCTCTCTCGTGCTTTGATCTCTGCTTAACAACAGTAACGTCACACGGACTACACCAGGAGAGTTTTGTTGGAAGTTAGAAAGTTTTGCAGCCTCCAGAGGGCTGTAGCGGCAGTAGCAGAAGCAGCATCCAAGGGACTCCTGGAAGGGGAAGAGAGAGAGAGCGAGCGAGCGACTGACTCAGTCCTGCTGCAGAGAACTGACTCGAGGAGACGAAGGCAGACATGGAACATCAGCTGCTGTGCTGCGAGGTGGAGACCATCCGACGAGCCTACCTGGATGCCAACCTCCTCAATGACAGGGTGCTGCAGACAATGCTGAAGGCGGAGGAGACCTGCTCGCCCTCCGTCTCCTACTTCAAATGCGTGCAGAAAGAAATCTTGCCATATATGAGGAAAATAGTTGCCACTTGGATGCTGGAGGTTTGTATCTTTCGGCGACTTTTCCTTCCAAGCTCCGGCACCGAAAAGAATTAATCCGGGAGCCGCTGCCCCATCTCCTGCCCCCTCTCCCTGTCCCCCGGGATCGCTTCCCCGGCGCGGCACACGTTGCCTGCCCTCGGAGACGCCCGCGTGGAGCGAGGGGAAGCGGCCCGAGGTGGCGGTGGCCGCCGGCTCCGTGTCCCCGCTGCCGCAGCCGGGTCCCGGCGCCGAGGGGCGGCGGACGAGCCCCCCCCTCGCCCCCGCC